ATCACAGAGGTGTCCTCGGCCCCAGCGTGTCCACCGTGTCCTATGTGCTATGGAGACCGTCCCCTCCACACGGATGGGCACATCTATCAGCACCTGGTCCAGCAAACGTGGCAATGACCACAGTACCGGTGAGTGAAGGCACCGCTGGCCCAGCAGGCTGTACATACCCCCTTACATAAGCTCTCCTGTCCTAGTTAACAGACGCCCCAAATGCTTCCTGACTCCGGTGCCCTGACCTATAACTGCAATTACTTCTTTTCATGGAAATCCCAAAGCACCATCTCAATTACACGCAGTTCTTGAACACGCGAGGCTCCCCGGCCCAGCCCCACTCGAGGGCACCCTGGCAGGCAGACAGAGAAACCCACTCTACCTGCCTCTCTGGGGCAGGGCCTGGCTGACCTCCTGCCCACCCCTCCCCTGCAGCCCCACCTCTGCCCCCAGGGCCTGGTGTGGTGTGTCCCTGGTTCAGCTCAGGCGGCAGGCCCAGCCACTGCCTCATGATGAGCCTGGCAGTGGGAGAGGGCAGTGTGCATCGGGGGCCTCGGCCTCATGGGCACTCTGGAGCATGAAGCTGCCCCTCACACGTGCCACGGGCCCAGCCTTGCAGCCCGGCAGCCTCACAGCTCCCAGGAGCCCAGCGCTCCGCACACGCAGCTCAGGTGGGGTGCAGCTGGCGACAGGTTTCTGAGCCCACCGGGGACCCCAGCAATCACTTCGAGACACCCAGCCCTTGGGTCGCTGAGGGAACCCACATCTGACAACGACACAGCATGCTGCACCCACAAAGACCAGAGTCAGGCACCAGCACCACCTCCCCCTTCATCAGCGGCAGCTGAGGTGTGGGACCCCCATGGACGGGGGCACCCGTCCAGCCCGCGGAGCTCCCTAAACAGCCTCCACCTGCACGCACTGCCCACTCGGCTGCACCACCGGCCAGGCCCCAGCCAGCTCTAGACTGCCAGGTGACAGACATGCAGGGCTCCCCAGGGGCACTAGAGTCTCCAAGGGAAAGGCCTCTACGGCAGGGACAGCTTGGGAACCGCGAGGAGGCCTCTGCTCTGCTACACACGCCCCTGGCTGGACGCTGGCTTCAGGCCACCCTTACACGGCGTCACTTCCATTTCCAGCAGCCCAGCTGCCCCCCCGTCTGCTCAAGAAGGCAGCCCCAGGGGCCCGAATGGGCCAGACTCCTGCCCCGCACCCCAGCGGCGTGGGCACATCTGCCTCTCCCACGGTCTTCAGGACTGGGGACAACTGCTACGGTTGCCAGTGACCCCACAGGGCACACACTGGAGGCAGCTAGAAGAGCTGGGTGCAGGCAGGCCCAGGGACCAAGGCAGGGATCTCCAGGGCAGCACCATGAGCCGTACTCTCTGGGTAGACACCCCTGGGCTGCCCCCAGCGTGGGCTGCAGCTACTGGGCTGCTCTGTAGAACAGCTGGAAAGCAACCAACCGCTTTAGGAATGGAGAGGCCAGTAGTGAAGAGGCCTCTGCTTCTCCCCCAAGAGTGCTTCCAACAGGCCCTTTCCCTGTGACCACCAGGACTTTGCTGACATTCTAGGCCCCAGGACAGTAGCTCTTGACAGGCAGGCCAGGAGTGAGGCCCAGCTAGGAGGCCTGTGTTTGGGGGTGGGGCCACATAAGGGGGGTAGGGCTCACTGGAGGGGCAGGGCTTCCTGCTCCAAGTGGTGGGTCCACACAAGTGAGGGCAGCGTGGAGGGCACTGGAGGGGCAGGGCTGCACAAGTGGGTGGGGCCAGCCAGCCCAGCTCCCCAGCTCTTCAGAAGTGGAGAGGACGTGCAACGGCTGGGCCCCCAGCAGCTACACTCTAAAGTAGACACCCCAGTGGGGCCGGCAGCACATCCCAGCCAGGCAGCCTGGCACTCACCCCAGGACTCACCCCAGGATGGTGGCAGCAGCCTCCCTGCACCTCAGTGGGGGGTGTGCACAGTCACATACCAAGTGCCCCACCCCCTCAAACTCAGATGTGGGGCCGGGCATGCTGACGGCTCCCAGCCTGGCCTCCTGGGCTTCCAGGCCACTAGGGAGCAGAAAGCACACTGGGCCGTGGCTCCCTCTGCTTCCCACCCCAAAACGTTGTTTTGAAACCACTTAGCACTTACTAGCTATCTGCTGCATGACCCGTTTGTGCGTGGCACCAAGTGGGATGCAGAAGAAATACGAGACCTAGCCCTTCCCAAAGGAACTCGGTGACTGAGGAAAAATCACAAAAATAAAACACCTGTGTGGTTAAGAGTTGCAGCCCCGTCTCCCATTAACAGAGGAAGGTCAGGTGGATGGGTAGGAACAGAGGCAGAGGTCGGTCCAGGAAAGCTCCCTACGCAGGCACCGTGAGAAGGTCGACACCAGCTTGTCCTAGGTCCACAGCCCTTCCTGTCAGTGCTCAGAAGACGGAGAAAGGCAGGACATTCCCCCTCACAAACAGGGAAACTGAGGCTCAGAGAAGCTTTGGTGCTTGCTGTGGCCACGTGACCCGTTAAGGGACAGAGCCAGATCCAAGCCTAAGCCTGACACCAGGGCCTTGAGGCTGTGCCCGGGTGGGGACAGGCCAGCCTGGGGCCACCCACAGGTCCTCTGGTGAGTGGAGAAGAGCAGCTGCAAGTTCTGGAGAAAGGAGGTCACTCAGCCAGGGCTGGGGAGCCACAGCAGGGCCCCTGGGACCTGGGAAGAAAGGCCAGCTTCGTACATCTCCCAGGAGGTGCCCTGGGAGGCCAGGAAGACGAGGCTCACCAAGCGTCTCTGCACTGGGTGGCAGAAGCCTTTCCAGGGGAGCTGCTGGGCCACCTTACCTCACACCCACTGCAGCCTCCACCCACCACACGCTTCGGAGCCCTGCCTGCCCTCCCCGCCCACATGGCCCTCGCCCAGACCCACTCACAGGTGCTGCGGGGACCATTTGCCTTGGCAACTCACAGCCACAGACAGGAACGCTGCCCTCATTCAGAACCCTGCCGGGCTCCTGGTTCTGGCCCATCAGGACACAGACAGCCTGGAGGGCCACGACCCCCTCCCCCTCCCCTGCCCTCCTGCGGATGAGGGGGGGCTTCGTGACGACTGTAGCAGCCATCAGGTGTCCCCCACCTGAGGAACAGGCGCCATGGCTTACTCCCAAAAGTGGGTCACCTGACATACCATGGAAGGGCACTCAAGGGGCCCCAGGGTAAGCCCCGCCACCTGCCACCTTAGTTCTGTTATCAAATGTTTCACAGCACCTGGGGCACCCACTGGCAGCCCCTTGCCCAGACCGGGGACCACAGCACTGAAGCAGGGCCAAGGCCCCTTGAGTCACCGCAAGGTCCAGCCCCCTGTGGCTGCAAATCAGGGGACCCTCGGGCCAGTCAATGCAGGGTCCGCTGAGGCACTGGAGGTGGCTCGCAGCCCCCATGGGACGAACAGATGGGACCTGCCTCCAGGGCCCCTGAGGCACCACCATGGTCCCTAACAGACCCCAAGTGCCAGGACACGCAGCAAACAAACGGACCGACCATCAGCAAGAAGGTCGTCCAAACGCCCCGTGTGGGATGGGCTGAGGAGCTGGCTGTGCACACACAGCCTCCAGAGTAAATCCCACCACCCGGGGCCCACGGCAGAGCAGCGTGGAGGGCAGGCGGAGGCCGGGTGTGTGGTCAGGGCCCTCCTCAAGGGAGAGGCCTGGCAGAGGGAGGCAGGGCACCTGGAAACCAGGGAGCTGGTGAGGCAGGGCCAGGATGACTGCGTGGGGGCCTCAGGCCTCTGGCTCCAGACTGCAGGAGGGAGGGGGGTGGCTCCAAGAGCCCCTAGCCTCTGCCTCTGCCCAGCCCTATGCTACCCTGCCAAGATCTCCGGCAGCCAGTGAGCCCAGGCACAGGACAATACCGGCTGTGCCAGGGAGAGGGCCCTCATCCTGAGCAGGGCGGAGCCTCCAGTACCCATACGATGGAACACAATTGAGCCACGAAAAGGAAGAAACGCTGGCCCCCAGTAAGAGGGGAGGAGACTGGCGCAGGCTACTGCACGATCAGCCTTGAGAACCCTCCGCGCCACGTGAGCCACCAGGCACCAAAGGTCGGACGCTGTGGGATTCCAGAACAGGCGAGTCTACGGAGGCCGATGGCAGGCTGCTGACTGGTGGAGCCAGGGGCACAGGGGTGACTGCTGACTGGAAAGTGCTCTAAAATGGACTGAGCAATGGACGCACAGCTGCAAACACTCAACCACTGGGCTGTGCCCGCGAAATGGTGAACTGCTGGTGACGTGAATTATATCTTAATAAGGCCGTTAGCAAAAACCCACAGTGCCTCAAGGGGAGAGGAGAGCTCAGGTCCCTGGACCCTAGCAGGCAGCTGAGCCCTCAGTGGGCTGGCCTCAGTATCCCCATCTCCAGAACCCCAAGCCGGGGACGTTCCCAGGAAAGTTCCCTCTAAGACACGCGCTCACACCCAGCCTGGGTGCTCAGGGGTGGCTCACACCTGCACTGCCCTGGCCTGCCGGGAGGAAGCTACGGCCCTCCAGGCCGAGGGGGAGCCGTCCGCTGCTTAAGTCTTCAGAAAGCAAAGTTGCAAAATGCTCCAAGGTGGGAGGAAAAAGAAAAATAGACATAGGCTCTACCAACAAATACCTATTTCTCCTCCTCAACTCCCTATTCCCACTGCTCGGGATCTGTGCGCAGAAACAGCTGGAGGAAGGCTCGCTGCGGCAGCCTCAGGCAGGAATACTAAGGCCTCCAGGATGGGCCCATCATGGAGAGACCCAACACTGCAGCCTGCCCAGAGTGTAAAACAGAAAGGATCACAAGACCCATCACAGCTTACCTGGAGTGAAAAACAGGATCGAAACAAAGGCTGGGGACACAGGAAGAGGTGGCTGGAGAGGGGAGGGCGCCTAGAGAACGGCCTGAGTCGCGTCCCTTCAACTGTGCACCAAGCGTGCCGGAGTGGGAGGCTGCAGACAGCAGTGGGCACCCGAGGGACCCCCATATGGCTGTTTCCACAGACTCTCACTTCTTCTTCTCATCTGCCCCTGGCCCAGTCCCGTCCTCTCCTTTGGGGCCAATCCTGCTCCACCAGGCCACCCCACACTGGAAATCTTCCAGCTTGGCCTGCAGGGTATGGGCAGACCTGCCTGGCTTCCCTGCAGTCAAGGAGTGAGCGGGGCACAGGCTCTGAGCAGGCACCGGCCTCCAGTCCCAGGGTGAGGCCACAGCCATTCATGGACACCCACATCTGGCATCAAGGAGATGGTGGCACACACACACGCAGACACACGCACACGGGCAGGTGTGTGCGGGGCTTGCCAAGGCTTGAAAACCTGACTGCCAGCAGGAAGGGAGTGGCCTGGAGGCCTGGGCTTCACCCACAGCCACACCCTGCCCGCCCCAGGGTGCAGCCCAGAAGCTTCTACCTGGGTGACTGGCCAGGGGTTTTCCTGTTGTTTCTTTTACAAACGACTGGGCATCTTGTTTTGTGTGTCCTTCTCATCTGTATCACGATGACCCCAGCAAGTGGGCGAGGGGTTTCTGGGTCTGGCCTGTGCCAGGCACCATCCAGGTTCCGGTGTACACACATCAGGCCGTGCCTGTCATCGGCGAGGCCATCTTAAGTCCTAGCCCACTCAGCATGCAGCACCGGTGACACTGGCGGGACGGTGAGAGAAACAACACCGAGGCCGCTCCCTCGAGGAACCTGAAGTACCACCTGCCCTTGAGCGGCCAGCCCTGTGGGCGGCGGCCACAGCCGCTTAGAAGAACAGACTGGGACCCGACTCCTTAGAGGAACAGACTGGGACCCGACTCCCCAGAGGAACAGACTGGGGCCCGACTCCCCAGAGGAACAGACTGGGGCCCGACTCCCCAGAGGAACAGACTGGGGCCCGACTCCCCAGAGGAACAGACTGGGACCCGACTCCTCAGAGGAACAGACTGGGGCCCGACTCCTCAGGGGAACAGACTGGG